TTCATAGGAAATATATAAAATACAAAGCAATATTTATCGATCTCATAATATTAGAATTTTTTCTGTATGTACATTATATATATATACGGTACCATATTTCCAAGCTAAAAGTAATACCAGGAAAGCGAGTATTAATAAACCTAATAAAATAATATGAAAAATTGATGATTGATTATTTAATCTTATCTTACAGTAATACGAAAAATTTTTTGGAAATAGTTGTAGCAATATACATGTATACGTACATACTTATAGTCACCGTTAAGATTTAATCTAGTGTATTCAAATCCTAGTATACTGAAATTAATTTATACACAGTAGAACCTTGTTTATCCGATTAGGTCGGTGGAAAAGAAGGCAGTTCGGATAATCGAGCAGTTCTGGTAATAAAAATGTACTACATACCAAATCTCTCCAACTTTTCTCATTGTTTGCAACATTACGATTCAAGTGAAATTATAACATTTCAACTGCTACTTCTCGATATAGTATTTATTTTGAATAAAAACAAGTGACTACATACATTAGCAGATATACACATTATACAGGGTGGTTGGTAACTGGTGGTACAAACAGAAAGGGGGTGATTCTACGCGAAAAAAGAAGTCCAAAATATAGAATAAAAAATTTTTGTTTTTTAATTTTTTCATCGAGAAAACGATCTACAGTGAGATCCGTTATAACGTACCGCACGCGTACTGAGCGCAAATTCAAAGTCGACTTTTACCATCAAGTTTATGACTGTTGTGGAAGAAAGCTTATTAATATGAATTAATAACTTATAGATTGTGAAATTTAGAATTTAATAATAATATTGGTTTAATTATGCAATAAGGCTCAGATGTGGCATGATTTTCTACATTGGAAATTGCTTCGTTTATAACTTTTGCGACACGAGGCGGTTGTTGTCGAAGCTAAATCAGCCCCTTTCGTTTCGTTTTTACTATTTGAATGTATGTTTAAATTATATAAACGTAAACAGCATTTATTTAAAACTATTATAAAATGAGAAGGTATTTGTAAATTTAAAGGCAGTGTTACGCCGGGCGACTCTCTACCTGGCCCAGGTCATACACCGCGGGCCAGACGGATACCAGATGTCCCGTTGACGTCTCTCCTCGCGATTACGTCTCCCCGCGATTGGTCGAAAATACAGGCAGTATAAAAGTTAAAAGTAAAGGCATCGAATTAATTTATACACCAAATAACACAATTAATTTTAAATTAAATTTTTTAGTCATATTCTATCAGTATGTTCTATAGAGGTAAATAAAATACAGTGTTATATAAATATATTTAAATTTTCGGTAGAAATTCATAGGAAATATATAAAATACAAAGCAATATTTATCGATCTCATATTATTAGAATTTTTTCTGTATGTACATTATATATATACGGTACCATATTTCCAAGCTAAAAGTAATATCAGGAAAGCGAGTATTAATAAACCTAATAAAATAATATGAAAAATTGATGATTGATTATTTAATCTTATCTTACAGTAACACGAAAAATTCTTTGGAAATAGTTGTAGCAATATACATGTATACGTACATACTTATAACCACCGTTAAGATTTAATCTAGTGTATTCAAATCCTAGTATACTGAAATTAATTTATACACAGTAGAACCTTGTTTATCCGATTAGGTCGGTGGAAAAGAAGGCAGTCCGGATAATCGAGCAGTTCTGGTAATAAAAATGTACTACATACCAAATCTCTCCAACTTTTCTCATTGTTTGCAACATTACGATTCAAGTGAAATTATAAAATTTCAACTGCTACTTCTCGACATAGTATTTATTTTGAATAAAAACAAGTGACTACATATATTAGCAGGTATAGACATTATACAGGGTAGTTGGTAACTGGGTGGTACAAACGGAAAGGGGGTGAGTCTACGCGAAAAAAGAAGTCCAAAATATAGAATAAAAAATTTTTGTTTTTTAATTTTTTCATCGAGAAAACGATCTACAGTGAGATCCGTTATAACGTACCGCACGCGTACCGAGCGCAAATTCAAAGTCGATTTTCTCGAAAAACAAGCCTCAAACGAAAAATTTTTATTCTATATTTTCGACTTCTTTTTTTCGCGTAGAATCACCCCCTTTCCGCTTGTACCGCCAGTTACCAACCACCCTGTATAAAATCCGATTGCACATATTACGAGGTTACTCTTGAGCCTAGCTCGGATAATGGAGGCTCAGGATTCATTTGTTTGGATAAACGAAGTTCTATTGTATATTAATTTTATTGACTTCATTAATTTTACTGATTGTAAATTACTCAATTTTACAATTTTACTGAATTGTAAAATAGTAGTGTATTAAAATTTATGAATTACTGCCCACCTTTGTTGTTGATATAAGGTTGGATAGCCTTGACTACTTCAGGATGAATGTTCTCTTTGTCGTAATTTCGAAGTTGCGAGAGGAATGTGTCAACATGTCCCATCATCGCTTTGCACGCTTTCCAACTTCTATCTTTTGGAATTTGACCTCTGGGGGAAAATAAAACTAAAACAGCTTGTGCCACCATCGCTACTTGTTCCGGTGGCGTTCCAAAGGATTTTAGTTCTGTCAAGTTGTTCTGAAATTTAGATAATAATTTTGTGAAATATCCGGAATAAAATCTAATTATCGGGGTTTTTTTATTAAAATAGCTAGAGTTATCATAATCGAGATTTTCAAATGTAAATCATGTCTTTTTGGAACTACATATATGTTTATGTAAAATCGATTGTAAAAAGATTCCGACACTGTACAATTTTAATTTCTATTTCTAATTTTCTGTAAATGTACCAAGGATCAACAAAAATGTGTTATACTGTGTTACTGCACTATATAAAATGTAGACATAATTTACTCTCCCTCGGTATCTATTTTGATATTTCGACAACTATCAATAATAACTCTAATAATTAACTTTACCTATATAGTGTGGTGTAACACAATGTAATATATTTTTGCTGTTCTGTTTTCGATGTGAGGTGGATATAATCAAGTAAGGACGTATTCAGTCTTCACAGAGTGGCGAGTGTAAACGTTATTATGATATTTCCTTATATTTTCTATCGTTTATGATTTGTTTGTAAGTCTCAGCTATTCCTCTCAATAAAACATCCCTACAATGTATCTCGATGTTCTTTCAACATTGTCGCCTCGATTTTGATAATTATGTACTATAAAAATCTTAAATTTCTCAAGATAAACCTAGATTTTTGATCAAATTGAATCTGATGATAATAAATTCTATATTGGTTCGCATATATTTAATTATTCTGTCCTATCATGTTTCAATGTCATGAAGAGGAAATTAGAAAGAATATTTATACATATTAAATATGATGAATAGAAATATAAGTGCCATAATTGAATCTGTCTTTCAAACAAATGTCTTACTTTATTTAATGTGTCAAGAGCAGCTTCAGCTTGTCGAACTGCAGGCTCTGCTTTTGCTAAATCCTCGTCGCATCTCCTTTGTCTCTCTGCTACTGTTTCTTTTATTTCAGCTACCTTTGCCTCTTCCTCGGACACTGTACACAAGTTTTTTGCTCAACGCGTGACAATTTTCTATGTATTTTTTAATTATACCGTTGCATAATGTAATATACATATCAATCTCAGCAAACTTTGGATAAGTAGTCGAAGAATCGAGACCCAAGCAGGGCACTTATCCAATGGAGACATCGATTTCAAGTGTCGATACGGCTTGCAATTTTGGTAAACATAGAAAAGGATAGCGTATGCGAAGATCAAGGAGGTTTGGGAATCGACTTGATAGAAAGAAACATATCGAAACATTAATGAGATAATACTAATGCAACGATGAATCTTTGTTTTTCATTTTCATTGAACTACTTTTTATTTTTATTGAATTACTTATTATTATTATAATGCGAATTTTGTTATTATTATAATAATAACTATTTTTATTTTATTTTTGTTAAATTACTTTTTATTGAACCTCGACCAATGAGATCTTTCTGATTAGGATGAGATGAAAGACGATATAATTTGGTGCATATTTGCTTATTTAAGGACTCCAACTTATTTTGTTTTGCCTATTAAATGCGATCGGAAGTAGATATATCGTGTTTACGCTTATTTTAAACAGAAAAATCTTACAATTTATAAAAAGTCAAATGTAAGAGTGTTTCATCACTGAATTAGTAGTATCTGAATAACATTCGGATTCGGATTAAATTATGCTACTGAGTTTCACGAAGTATTGGAAGACACCTTGGAAGGAATTTTCCTTAGCGCTAGGGATAACAACCGGGTATTTACAGGCACTTATCCAAAGTTTGTTGTGTATTATATATATAATAATTAGGTTATTAATACGTGTACAAAAATATAAATGTCAACAGTCTTCTAAAAATTACACTAATAATTTTTTAAATAATACTTCTTATCAGAAAGCAAATAAAAATAATTTGGGACGCATGATCGGATTTAAGAAGCGAAACAATACCAATAGCTTTTTCCCCTTCGGCTTTAGTATTCTCTGCTCGGACTTCGGCAAGAATTTTATCTGCAATTTCATTCTTCTTTTTTAATTCGATTTCTTGGGCTGCTAACACCACTCTTAATTCGCTTACCTATCGATTAACGTTCATATAACCTTGTGTAAATTTACTAAATCAATTAAGTTTTATATTAATATAAACAGTGGTTCAAACTTTGTGAAGTTTGCTATGTCTCTTATCGTTGAATATACGATAAATAATGAGATTACTAACGTTCCAAATATCTTGGATACCATTTTGGATAGATGCATTTGCGTATATTAATACTTGCAAATAAAAAAAGTTAAATACATAACGAAATTATTAATATCTTAAATATAATTTGGCAAGATAAATAATTAACGATTTGTTTAAGGCTGGTCAGGTGTAAGACATTGTTTTTTGAAAAAGTTTTATTAGTATTTTAATTTGCTTAACGTGAGCGGATAAGGCGCTTAATGATACGAAATAATTTAATAAATCTAACTGAGATCAATAATCTGGAACAAGAACAAGATAAATTTAAATAATAGACGTCTTTAAGATACACATCAGTCTCAATTAATTTCTTGAATTCATCTATGCATTTATTTGCGATTCTGATGAATCTGGTCATTATCGTATTATTATTTCTCTGCTGAAACATTTGCTATTTTCTAAAAGCCCGAATATTTTAAACATTAAACTTAAAATTTAAATAACATTAAAGCTTCCAATATTGTTTGTTTAAATGACAATTAATGCATCATAATCTTGGTCTTCATATTAAAAAATGAATTTACGCACACGTAAACAATAATAGAACAATTATCAATTATCGAACAATTAAGGAATTCTTTTTTGGACTTTGAAAGAAATTTTTAATTTTGTTGGGATCTACAGATTTTTAAAAATTTTAAACTTACACAATCACATACTTATTGCCAAAATATATTTACTTTAAGAAATAAACTATTTGTGCTTAATCTATTTATTTATTTATTATTCATCTTTCATAGCTAAGACTCTACGAACTGGTTAGGAGTTCTACAACACCAGTTATAACTAAAATCTCTGATAGTTTAAACTTTTGAGAATTTTATATATTTCTATCATTCGTTATTTTATATATTTAATTTAATTAGTAGTACTGTGAAAATGTTTTAATTTGCAATGTTTATATGCAATGTGTCTTCGTTAAATAGTTAATATGCAATGTGTCTTCGAAATTCGTGAACTGTCAAGTATATTATAAAAATCAAATGTTATTTAATATTCTGTCTATATAATATAGTACTACTATAACGAATGAAGTTATTACTTGGCCAGCGCAAGATTCCAGCTTTTCCAGGCCGTTTTTCAATCTCTCTATCATCGCTTTTACGTCGTAGGTTCTTTCCACAAGCAACTTCGAGTACAAAGAAATTTGCTCCAAAAACGTTTTTGGAGTCGTGTAGTTGTATCTTCTCTCGTTTTGTAAATAAAGCGAAGATATATCATTAACGCTAGTATGCACGTATGACATGAACAAAGAAGCTGATGGCTTGTATTTTTTTGGAAGGTCTTCTAATTCCTGCAATCAGTAAATATCACAATGATAAACTTAATAGATGAAAATAAAATAATATCAGGAAGACAGATTAAGTTTATTCATAAGTAATAATCGAATGAAGCGATTACGGACCGTTTATTTTGTAAGTAGTGTAAGTCCACTTTTAGGAAAAATTAGGGAAACGACAAATTTACATATACTTTAGTGCGATTTTTCTTATTTATAAGCAATTTATAATTTAGATTTAAAAAATTTTTAAATTTTTAATTTAAAAATTATTAGAAATGTAGACTAAGAAATTTGTTAACTTTTTTAAATTTAGATTTTAAAATTACTAAAATTAATAATGATTTATTTTGAAAGCAGTGTAGGTCTATTTGTTGTAATCTATAGGCTGTCCAAACGGCCATCAATAATGACAAACAAATGATAGCGAATGGAATTCTATCCTATTTATTTCACATAGTATTGCGCGTGCGAATGTGAACAAGTTGTTTAAATGCGATTCAGTAATGTACTCGTAAATTATTATTACATATAAAATGTTATGAAATTAATAATAGTTTTATGTTTATACCTTTTCTAAAAATCACCTTCTATCGTCTTTTCCAAAAAATAATACAGTACAAATAGCGGAGATGCGATATAGAGATACCCTTGATAAATTGATTTTATAAACATTTCAATGTAATAAATAATCTAATAAAATGTAAAATATAATATCTGTTTTCATTCACACTGATATCTTAACATAAATTAAATTAACTAAATGACTTATTAAGCTTTATAAAGAATGTGCTAAATTGTCTTACTTCTAAGAACCTGGTGGAAACGGATCTCAAAGCATCCTGTGGCCAGCTTTGAAACCAATTGATCGAAGTGTTGTTTACGATTGCTGGAAACTGTCTAGCCCTGTTTCGTAATGTTGCACCAACGGGAGAAAAGCAAAGAATGCATTTTAACAAATTTCGAACTCGATTGATGAAAAATTTCCAACAATTTTCTTTGGTGTCCATCATGCCGGTTTGTTTTACCTACGATATAATAAAACGTCAATATACCATATTAGAATAAAAATTGAAGCAATGCATAAGGCAAATATATAATAACTGCATTGAAATTCCTCAGTATTAAAGATATTATTTATACGAGTACCAATGCACGGGGCAAAGTTTAGATTCAGACTATAATTAAATCATAGTTCAAACTTTAAAAATATAAAATTGTTGATACAGAACATTCTGACATAATATGATACAAACGCGCCACACTGCGAGAAACTGGATGAACTCGACATACAAAATGCTATCTGAAAATAATTTACACATCACCGACGCAGATATAACCGCAACTGTGCAGAATAAGTCCAACGTTTCGTTGTAGACAATGAAGAAATTAGTGATAAGGAAGGTACTGCAATTTTGAATCGTGTTCTTCGGTATTTGAAGTAACAAGAAGGCGTACCTAGCCTAACAGAAAGTTTAATGATAGTGGAAAGTTGGCATGATGAAGCAAAATTGTAAATGTAGAATTGAAAAAATAATTTATTATGTTCTAAATAATTGTACCATAAATGAAAAAAATGATTATATTATCAAAGGAATTACATCTCTTAAAAGTAAGAAGCTTATTTTGGAATAGAAAATGCGTTTTTATTTATTTTCCTCCGAGTCTCGATTATCCACTTCGATCACGATTTATCCGGACTGTTTGTCATCGATTAAGCCGGTCAATCGAATGCTGCATATGACATGTAGTTATACTATTCGTTTTTTTTTTTTGTTCTATCAACGAAACTACTGCGCGGCGAACTAAAAATTTTATAATATTCGAAATACTACAACTACTTTATTCGTATTGCTGATATATATCGTCACATTTTCACTCTTAATATGAGGTATGTATACTAATGTTAGGTTATCTTTTATGAAGACTTTGTTGCCTCAAGGATCTGAGGTAAATGCCTTGTGACCCCTTATAGCCTGCTTATCAAAAGGGATCGCTGCTATCCGCACTCTGTGACGGGATCCTTCAGAAAGATTCTCCATTCTTTGGCAATACTACATGGGGCCACTTGTCATCCACAAACTATTTCACGCATTCTCTAAACTGTAAACAGCCATATTCGGTGATATGGCTATGAGGTGTCGGTACAACAGGCTCGGCAACTTCTAAACGCCGGTTATCGACTTTCCAAACATTAGCCTGCTTCCACTTGCGACTAGTCGCGCGCAATTATAAAATCTATTGTCAAATATGGTACAACTTCCACTCGCACTGTCTTGACTAACATTAAAACCATCGACAGTTACGACAAAGTTATTTCTACCAGAACTAGTCAAAATGACTGGTCTTTAGAAAATACATACTAGCAATACAATATTTTTATACTTATTGATTTATTATATTCTTACAAAAGGAGTTCATGTTATGCAGTGCATTTTTGGTATTATTAATTTATTTGGGACCATGATTCTTAAACGAGGATTGGCACATTTATAAAATTGTAGAATCAGTCATTTTGACTGATGTCAGCATCATGATCGATCCGAAATTTTTTTGATAATTGACACCATCATATCGAATGATACGTAGTAACATTTCTAAAAACGTGTGGGAAATTGTACAAAACGAGGAAATTGGTTAGTTTGGGTTTGGGACAAGTACCAGTTATTTTGACTGGTATTGGTATAAGTAGCAATGGTACAAAATTATTTTGAATTTGAATACATAAAAGAAAAAATAAAAAAATAAAATTCATTATATTATTCCTTTAGTTGGCGCTACAAAAATCATTACATCATTTGCAGAAGAAAATGTAACATGAAGTAGAAATTTAAAAATAAAATTGTAGATCCAGGCATTTTGACTGGTATGGTAGTTATAGTGCCAAAGGTCGCACAAAATTCCAAAGTATATGGAATACATACGTGCTGTACCTAGATTCAAAACAATCACGCGCGTCTGAACGTCATTTTGTGTTTAGAAGTATGAGTGCTCAGTAAGGACGTTTTAACGACATTTACGACGTAATACACTATCTCTGTACTTGTACTTCGAGTCACAGTTGTTTAAGGAACTATGCCGGTTCTCGGTATCAAACATTTACACACGACGGCCTATCGTCTCGCGCCCAACGGGATGGTAGAGCGCCTACGTCGACAGTTGAAAGCGGCAATTAACACGTTGAGCTCGGCGCCGAAATTGCTGTCTTTACCGTTCAGTCGGCAGGGAGCGAGCGCTGAAGTGATACGATGGAACATTGAAGTCTCCCGCTGTGATGCATTTGTCACAGAACGATTGGAAATACTGTTCCCATTTTTGTAATGTCATTTCGTGTCGCGGTGGTGCATTTACTGCTGATATCTGGAAGTAATTGCTGTTAGTCTGTATTGTAACGGTGGTTTCTTGAACGTGTTCCTGATTAATTTGACTATGTAAGTGGTGTTTGACATCGTTTCTTATTATCACACAGCACCTCCGCGTGCTTTTCCCGAGGGTTGCCTGGAGATGGTGCAATATAGTATTTTCATGTAGCTTTTTGGAGCGAAATATGTCTATGAAATAAGTAATATGTCAATATTATTGTTATACAGAAATGTTTTCATTTCGAGGGCCCGTTATTGTAGACCATTGGAGTTCTTAGTTGCTATTTTCGGCGTGTCCATTTCTATTTTTACTTTTTTTTTATATTTACGTGGAGGAAATCCGCACGAACGCCAGACCACTTCTGGGGAAAGCGGCGTGGTAGTGTCGGACTCCAACCGACTAAAACATCCACGATGACCGTCCTGTCCTGGCTGCGATCGAGAGAGGCCCCGGAGCGGTGTGTGGCCATTGTCACACCGCGCCTCGTCGCTGGGGCTGCCGTGCCAGGAAGCCCGGTTCCTCTACCGGACTGCTTGGCGGCCCCGAGGCGCTGAGCCGCCAACGCCCAAAAGCCCGAACCCCACCGGGGGGCGCGGCGGGCCCAGCGCGCTTCGCCAACGCCACACGGAGATCTCTACTTGTACTTAAAGTGATTTTAATATAATTGACTAACACAACTTTATCACGTGTCTCTTTATTAAACAAACTAACACGTTTAATACCCACCTCGGTTCCGTTAAAAGGAATAAAGCTGACCTTTAGTTATAAATTAGGGTAAGGCCAAATAGCGGCGGACTATCTGCCATAATATCGTTATGAAAATGCCTTTGTCTATTTTATAATTTCCCCTAACAAGTGGCATTTCGGATGATATTTAATTCAATTTATGATAACTTATTTGTATTGGGTAACTATATATAGTGTACAGGATGTCCAAAAATTATTTTTCATAGCTTTGGCAGGTATTTTTACATCTTCAAATCGGCGGACATCTGATTGAAAAAGTTACCGCAAAATTGACCTTAATATCCAATTTCACGGTCAAATTTTTTTATTGTATCGTGTAGTATTCATTACGAGGAAGAAAACACTCAAGGGAACCATCGGGCGTAACTCAACCGTTTTCTTGGAAAGAAGATATTAAATTTTCATTCATTGTATATGTCGGAGATGAAAGAACACCGGAGCCTTTGGAATTTTGGATAATCCCGCAACATTGTAACCTAGAGTCTACTATAGCTGTAATTGAACAATTGTAGTTATTCAATCCGATTGTAATTGTTCGAGAGTTGTGATAATGAACTTGGGCTCGAGGCAACAGTCAGTCGCCGAACGTAGCCGCGGTCACGGGATGAACGCTTTGTCTAACAAAGGTATGGAGTAATTCTATAGCTCTCCTTAAAAGAAATATTCGTGGCCACACGCGACAGTAAACATTCCAACGGTTTCTGTCCCGTGGCTCGCCATACGCAGACCCTATTCTCCGGGTAAGATGATTACCAGATTTCGATGCATCTCCACTGTACATGTTCAGCTAGCTTGAGAACCCGTTATAAATTTTGAGATTTAGTTTACTAAAGTCTTTCAAACAGAGAAACAGTTTTTGTCCCAACTACGTGAAGATAGGGGAAATGTATTTTTTTCACGAACGACGCTTCCCACTAGCAACCTTCCCACAAGGGCGGCTAGCATCCTTTTCTCGATACCAACATGGAAATTGACCAATTAACAACAACGTCAATTTCCCTCACTTTCCGAACAAGGGCTTTTCTCGACGAATCCGATGATCTCGTGTCCTTAGACACACCCCATCACAGTTTTCCTCTGCAGCATCATCCTGACGAAAAGTCATTCTCTCTCGTGATGTCTCAGTAGCGAGTTACATGGTGTCACGCTCGGTGAATATTCTACGTTTTAACAAAGAGTCAGTTTAGTAATACTTGTACCGTAGGCAAGCAAGTTGAGTACAACTTGGACTTTGGAAAGGAGCGCATTTTGTTATTCCGCTGACCGCGGATTCGTTATTGAACGTGGGATTATTGTCATTAGCATCTCGAGTATCTAATTACTACGGCTACTTGTCAAATTCTGTAATAATCATATTTGTACTAGTAAATATCTTCTCTGTTACATAACAACAATGGCTAATCCAAATGAAGATTCGTTACACGCACCTAACCCTAATCATAATGTGAACCCGAAATATATATTATAGTTTTCCTCTGTGGCATCATCGGGACGGGAAAGGCATTCTCGCTCGCGATCTCATTGATGAAAGGAGTAACCCTTTACGACCAGTGAATATTACGCGTCCGACTTAGATTTTGTGAGTACGTTCATCTATCATCCCGTCGAACGCGGATTCGTTATTGAACCTAGGATCATTGTCGTTAGTTTCTCGAGTACCTAACTACCACGATTACTTGTCCGGTTCTATAGTAATCGTATTTGCACTAGTCAATGTCTTCTCTATTGCATAACGACAACGTGTAACCCAAACGAAGATTCGTTTCACGGCCCTAACCCTAATTCTAATGTAAACCCGACATATATATATGTGACGAATGAAACTTGAGCATTTTTTCCAAGAAAATGATTGAATTGCGATTCATGGTTCCTCAAAGGTACTGCAAAGGCACAATTCAATCAATTTGTCCGTCGTGACGAGTACTATACAATGCAATAAAAAATCTGATCTTGAGATTCAAGGACAAAGAATTCTTGAACATCCTGTACCTAAGATAATTGAACTTTTTATGGGTTCAATATACTCAGTTATACAAAAGTTAATATCGAAAATATTTGCTTGTCTTTTTATATGTTATGTATAACTCATAATCAACTATATGGAAAGAGCATAAATAGAAAATTATATTTGTGCACAAAAGAGTGCGCCGTAACGAAATTTTGTAAGGTTGATTGCCAATGCATAATAGTTATAGTTATAAGACATTACCGCGAAGAAAAAATAATTTGCATAACAGGAATAGATCGCGATCCAAATATTGCATAGAAAGTGTTTTGTTTACAAATAAGAAAACGTACCTCAGTTCTTAAGGCGTTCACGATATTATCTACCTCATCATCGGCGAATAATTCGGAGATTTCGCCGAAGGCGAGCATATCGTTTATAAGTACCAGAAATTTTTCATCGGCGATATGAGAATCAGTCATCACGAAAGTTATTCCGATTCCTTTCAATCCAGATTTCAGATATAAACCTGATAAATCGCCTCTTAAATCAGTCATCGAATAACCTGTTCGTAATTGTATCTGAAAAACCTAAAATGTAAAGGACTTTGATTAATTTTTATGTAAAGAGATTGCTTACATGTTATGTATACGTGTTGATATTAATTTGAAACTAATTAAAAAAAATTTGATCTATGAAAGTTCACAGTTAATTCTTATTCTCCATCTATCTCACATTCTTCAAATAGCAGAAATTCACACAAAATTTCACCTCAGGACCATTAAAAAACTATTTAAACATCGTTTAGGATACCTTCGTTTCAATTAAAAAATAATAAAATTTATCTCTCCTTTGCACTCTTGTTATATCTGTTATGTAACAATTCCTTATTTAATGTTATTCCAGTACTATCAAATTCTAATTCTCACTTTACCTGAGATTTTAAGGAACATGACACAAACTATGTAGGTATAATTTCTTCAGTTACTTTTTATCATAGTAATGAATTTTTCTAATATGATCCTATTTTTATTAGGAATTCAAAGAATATATTGTATACATGTAGTTCTTTGATGAAAACTACGAAAATAAGGCAATAGTCAGAGAGAAAAAGAGCGATGTTATTGCTTGTAAATCAACTGATTTAACAATTAATATTCAATATATATACAATTTATATATTCCAATTTAAACTTAACTTATTGATGAGAGATGATATAAACAGAAAAAAAATGAATATATTATGGTTTAGGCTACAGTAACTACTAGGTAGCCAACAATTCTAGTGTGAAATAATTTTCAATGGATCTATTGCTACAGAAAATATTGCATTACCTCTTAACTGCCTGCTCGTCATATATTAATAATGATTAGAGGCAGAAGATATGTACGAGAGTAAGAAAAAAATTATCCGCACTGTCGCTGTAGAACTTATTTTAAGCTATTTTCAAAAATGACATACCTCATTTTTCTACATAATCGTCCAGCTTTTCAATACACTTTGCCTATCTGTTAAAGAGCTTTCGCATTCCCTCATTAAAAAATGTTTTCTACTGAGCTGCGTGCCGTGCGTGAATGCAGCGCCATACTCGCCTCTTCGTCAATTGTTTCGGTACCATCTCGTATAAACTTTTCGAAACCTAAGTCTATCGCGGAGTATTGCATAAACAGAGTCATGACTGATTCGCAAATAATTTGCCGTATCATTCAATATCACCCATCTATTCGACAGAATCAGTTTACGTGCACTTTTAATGTTGTTATCAGTCGTGGATGTGGACGACCTTCCGGTTCCTTTTTCATGACTGACACCTGTGCTACGTTCTTTGAACTTCTGTATCCATTCAAACACACTTGCTGTGCACAAAGTGTTCGATAAATATCGGCACTAGACACGCTCTCCAACCACAAAATACGAACCGTTACATGCTGCTCTTTTTTCGTACAAATCACAAGTGGGGCATCCACAAATGAATTGACGTAACACGTTCAAACCTGAGCAGCATTGACTTAAAAGATAGTGATGTTATACGAAAAGTGCAGATAGGACAGTACGGCCAACAGAAGTTCCAAATATAACTGGAATATAACTGGAGCGCGGACAAGTTTTGGCTCGCTTTCCCCACACACACGTAATTATTATTTTTTAATTTTTAATGTAACATGGAATATTGAATGACATGATAATAACTATGCGCGGTCTTAGGTTTTGAGTTATGTACAAATGTATGTTTGGTAATATATATAAATAATAATAAATAGTACTAATCTAATTTACGATACACTTACAAAATCGCATGAAATAAGAATTAAGTCATACTAGCGTTACGAGCAGCCCCATGGCAGCCGAATATTAATATAATCTAACCTATAACTCATTGATTTATATTTTTCTACTTATATCGAAGATAATTAGCATCAATAAGTCAAGTTTAGGTTGGGATATGTAAAACTATGACCACCCATGTGCCAGAATGAAATGTAACGAAAACTAGATTTAATTGAAAGTTTTTGTAAATATCTCGGAAACGAAGACTGAGCGGCGATTATGTGTATCGAAAAACGTTGTTTAGAATTTTGATCTTGATAATATATTTTTAACTCGTTGAAATTTTCTAGACGTATAATTACCTTTACTGTTCTATTACTTTGTTAAGTGTTCACTTTTTACATTTTTTTCATAATAGGTAAATGTTTCACTTTTCGTGTCTGAAAAGGTGGTGATTTTTATGGAAAGATAAGGATTAGTTAGAATTGCATGGTGTTGGGAATTTTACAAATAATTATTGCAAAAGTACCTCTAAACCTGCAATGAAAGACGCAAGGCTAGAAAGAGATTGCTTTCCGCTTCCTCCAACACCAACAAGCAATGCGTTTCCTCTTGGTGACTCCAGAATGCGATTTATTTGACAAACCTGGTACATAGCATCTTCGAATAAAACCAGATTCATTGCCGCTACCTACTCCAAGGTAAAAAAATATATATTCGATTAGAAAAAGGAAATAGTAACATATATAAAAAATTAGAATATTCCAATCAGAATAAATATAAGTTTTACTTGTTTTATCAATTAATTTTAATTCAAAAAACGTATAAAAACATCTTACTCGTGAATTAGAAACTAATTTACATTAAATTTTAATAATACTGCTATATACAATATAAAATAAGTTCTTATGTTATCTATTTTTACAAGAGTGCAAAAAAAGTTGTGTGGAAAACGTTTCATGTACCAAAATATTGTATGTAAATATTGTTTATGTATAGCGTGTAATCTATATGTCAAAATTAGCAAGTATGTTGTAAGTTTTATATTATCCATAACAAAAGATCTAAATTTAATCTTGTAGTAATGTAGTAAACAGAATAAAAACTGTCTTTTACATCTGAATGTGAAATTATTTCGTTTGTCACATTCTATACCGAAGGAACGTTGATTTTAAGCTATAGTCAAAAGATTTCCATAAGATTTTCATAATTTCGAATGTTTATTTTTAGAATGACTATGATTTGTTTTATTGTAACATTTGACAAAACTATTAACTTGAATATTATTTATATTTTTTTATATGATATATTATATAATTTATATTTTAAATATAAATTATTACCAGTTCGTTATAATTAACCAGAGCTTCATCTAGTAACTTGGTCAATTGTTGCCAATCTTTTATTGGCATATATTTTGGTTCACCGATTCCTTCCGCAAAATGACAATATATTATTGGTCCAGCAAAGACAATATTTTCGTCGATTTCCTGTCATAATAAATGATATTATTAAATTTATCATTATCAAAAATTAAATTAAGAATATACGTAACAAAGACCTATTTACTTCTCTTTTATTTATAATAATTAATACTACTGACATTTTTAAACTTACAGAAATATTTTTGCGAAGCGACTCCTTCAGCAATTGCTGAAAGGCTTTTACATCTTCAGCATTGATTAATTTATCCGAATACACTCTTGTTGCTTCGTGAACGTACAATCTGATCAAATGATTTCCAGTCGGAACAGTCTCACCGTGTGCAAACAGTATGCCCTTAAAGAAAGAGTAAACCTTTTTTATATCAAATATTTATTATTAAATATAATATTAAATATTTTTTTAAGAGAGTTAATTATAACGTCACGTGATTTTTATCTCAATAAGTTGAATCTCATGGTAACTACTTCAGTTACCGACTGCGTTCGACATATATACACGTCAATCCAAAACTTTATTTCGGTGCGGTTGACGTGTATACTTGTCGTGTAAAATAAAAAATTACCATTTGCTATAAAAACTCAAAATTTATATAATACTTTACTGCGTATATCGGCTATTCCCCGAATTCTTTTGTGTATTTTATTCTATTATCTTTTGGCAATTTTTCAGTTTCTAATGACAATAACCTTTTCAACGATCAATGAATTGTTAATTTTGTCGTCCAACGCAATTCCAATTCCCCCGTGAAGATACCATTTACTGAGGAGACAATATGTGGTAAATGTGGAATAACAAATATACGTAACGAATATTTCCGGGCACACGAAAATCCGCAGGCATTAAGAGATAGTTTGTGCAGAATGGTACACCACCACATTCTACCAAAGCGCACCCTACCAGAGCACTTGACCAGCTGTTTTGGAAACAAGTAGTTGGTCGAGGAGGATCTGTGCTTCGACCTGTCAGTCCTAAGATTTAAATCCCCTCTATTTTTAATACTGGGGATAGACGAAGACACGATACAGTAAAATTTTAAGAGAACAGTCAGGCTCTGTTTACAAGAAAACAAAGGACGTATCGAACATCTGTTGTAAGTTGTGTTTTTTGTGGACACTCGCAGCCGAGACAATCGCGGTGCGTGTGTGATTTTGTTGTGGACGATCCCTACGACTTATACGAGATAAGCTGCCGAAATATGTGTCGTTCAGATTGAGGATCACCAGATCAGAAAGATCTATCTATATTAGATTTCAAAATTATATTGGATAAGCTAAATAAGATAAAATACCATAATGACCAATTCAGCGGAGATAATGGTGCGTATAAATATAAACGTAATAAAATCCATTCTTTTTTTGTATACTCATCCTCATATCCACCGCGCTTCGCATCCACCTACCCATTTTACGACATAGTCAAGTGTACGCTTGTTCGAAGAGTAAATTTTGATTTACTCGGAGATAAAGCTTCCTATGGAAAAATATTACTGTACTAACGTCATCAGTTTGGAAACACTTTACACAAAAGAGCATATTAATTTTAATAGGTAAACTGCAGCAAAGAGCGATAAATTTCTATGGTTTTAATTAAGCTTTTGTCATTTTAATTACTTGCTTTGTTGAAATAAATCTTACTTGAAAGATGTTTGAGAGATCACGCAGATTAAATACGTAATGAAATTTGACTGCTGTTGGTAGGAATGTTGTTGAAATTTTGTGGTGACAGTACAATGCTGCATTTAATAATGATTCTGCAATTTTTGTCAGCGCTAAGTTAAATTTGTTGATAGGATTCATCAGGTGTTGTTCTAGCATTTGGCTGTATATCAATATTAAGTTGTCTTCGGTTGGAAAACTGCAATAGAAAGAAATTTTCAGTTCATAGAAAAAGATTTTTGTAATAATAACTTAATATAGGTTATATTTCCAGAAGTTCTATATACATATTCTATATCATATACAGGGCGATGCACGTAAATCATGACAGCTGAATATTTTTTTTTTTATTATTATTTAATTTGTATAATTATCCAAATTAAACATATGCACTTACCTATAACACTAATAAATTATACCTATCTATAATAAGTATAACTTATTGTAAATAAACAGCCATGTCACTGCGCCACGCCAGAAAAATTACTGAAAATTCTCAACGCGAGAATTGATTGTAATTTCAACAAATAAAATAAAAAAAAAAAAAAATTTAATTTGTACTTTACAATTTGTCCAACTGGACACTCGTTAAAATTGTCTAGCTTTATTACTATGTAACACGTGGATGACAGCCCCCAGCAAGATACCATCGTCCAGTTTGTTTATTTTATTTCTTTAGCGAGGTCAGTGGGATGTTTTCTTTTCAGTCTCCTTTTTTATATGGGTTTCGCTCGTGTCAGCAGCCAGCTTATTTGGAAGCGTTGCCGTTATTTCCTTGTTTTTTTTACGCACCTACCGATTTCTTCTTGGATCGTTGGTATTTTTAGGTCTTTGTGTGATCCTCGTTTCTGATATACCACGGGACGCTGACTACTGTCTGAGTATCTTTTTTTTTTTATTATTATTTAATTTAAACTTTACAATTTGTCCAGCTGGACATTTGGTAAATTTTTCTCACTTAATTGGCAAATAACATGTGGATGGCTACCCCCAGTGAGGTATCATCTTCGAATTTGATTATTTTATTTCTTTAGTGAGGTGAGTGTTTGTTTGTTAGGTTATGTCCTTTGTGAGATCTGCTGGTTGTTTCCTTTTTAATCTTCACTGAGTATCTTTGAGAAGCGACTCTGGTTTATTTACCTAACTCATTGCTGCTGTTCCTCATAGTGGTATTCCGTACGTCCAAATTGGTTTTATTATCGTTTTGTAAATTTTTAGTTTATTTTCCATGCTGACTTTAGAGTTTCGTCTAGTTAGCCAGTACATCTGTCTTCTTTTTATCCGTATTTTGCCTATAATTGATTTAGTATGTTGCTTTCATGTAAGTTACGAATCTAAGTGGAGTCTTAGTATTTAACTTGTTTTGTTTGTTTTATGTGCATGCCATTCAATTGGATATTAGGTGGTTTCTGCTTTCGTATTGTAAATGTAATGTGGTTAAATTGACTGGGGTTTGCTTTTATCTTGCAGTCATTTTTCTATTTTTCTGATACGCTCTGGTAGTAATATGTCTGCTGTTTTTGGATTAGTGTGCCTGACTAATACAGCTGTATTGCCCGCGAATGTCAGTATTTTGCTATTGGTAGTTGTAAGAGTGCTGATTTTGGGAACGTTTATGTACTTGGGTTTCGGCCCTCTGAAGGGATTGTCGCCGTGCGCCAGTCATAAGTGGCTATCCTGTTATTGTCTTTTCGGCCTGGGACACTAGCTGATGGCTGTGACCTGTAGGATGTTTGTCAAACGTAGTTATTCCATTATTGTTTTATAATCCTGTGACAGGGACACAAAAGGAATGTAACTTTACCGAATTAAATTTGCTAAAACAGTTGTGTGATGTAACAGTTAAATAGATCTGGGATCCATATATCTTTAATCGCTATACAAATAATTTCATTATTTGTATTACTATTATTGATATTTATGATCTTTTTCAAATACATAGAACAAAGATGAGCTTTCACAGATTAATGTCTTCTTATTTAATTTCATTATTTGTATTGTTATTGTCGTAATTTGTGTTCTTTTTTAAAAATACATGGAACAAAGATGAATTTACAAAGATAAATCTTTTTAAGGATAAACAGGAAGTAACTAACTGTTCTATTATCCGAAAATTCCATTATCCTAACATCGTTGCCTCCTAATTAGTTCGGATAATTGAGATTCTGCTGTGTATCTTTCCAACTGCAATAGTATTGGAATATTTTTTATTGTTGTTCAGAACTATAACAATCTTAAGCACATGTTCAAAATGATAGCTCCTCATCACTTGTGAACATTTCGTAATGCTGCGACAAGAAAATAATAGCATCTTACTCAATATTTCTGGTGTCACAGCAACACAACCTTTACGTATCTTAATTTTCTGTTACCTGGATTAGTCTTACGTGACTATAACCGTTAAATAATTACATTTTGATGTCGACTATTCTCAGATTGCACCGTACATCCAAAAGCCATTCGTTTCATGTTAAGTTTATATCCTGAACATTTTATGTCCATTGTGAACATTCTCAAGATGTTCGCAAAACTTAAATTTTGCATGTCCTAGCAACATCCATGTTACATTGCCTAAAACATCTGCATTCCACCCCTCGCGACCGGACAGCCAACGGCCTGCGTAACGTCATTCCGACCCTCAATGAACCTAGGGACCCACCATAGCCTTTCCCTTTCACTGTATTGTATCAACATGAGTCTTCAATCAATCCGTTTGTCCTGAAGAATTTCTTAAGCCTAAAAATATTTTCGAAGCACATCTGGTTTTTAGAGAGCTCCTTAGGTTTATTAGGCGCACTTAAAAACACGGAGAAAGCGGGTACGCACCTATTAGGAAAAACCGAATAGCTATCTAGCAAAACAAGCTGGTTTTTCCCATGAACAAGGTCACCTACCAACCACGATGGTAGGAGGCTTCCTACTCATCCCTTCAAGCATCAGCGTAGGCCGAATCGACACCGCGGATCGTTACTCTCACTTTTCCTAACGAAAAGTGTGAACAACGAATCCGCGTTCTTCATGCAAAGGGGCACACCCACACCGAACTTTCTTCCGTATTAACATAAGAGCGAGTCAGTACAAAGATACAAGTCAGTACAAAATCTAACGCCTAACGTCTAAGTCTAAGCACAACGCTAGAGGAGTATAATTCACGTCAACTATCTAAGTCGGTTCTCGGTATTGTCGAACATTCACCTCCTCTATTAAGTATCCTATAGTGCTACGTCCACTAACATACTAAATTCAATTATAAGAGCCTTGCTCTAGTGTGCATATCTATCTTATCATCGTGCGACAAGTTGTTATCTATTTATACCTACTCAACAGTGTAATTTAATTGTTGGAAATATATAATTTATAATTCTGTAAATCACAGTGTTTTACTAACTGAGTCATCCCTATTATCTTAACCGAAATCAGGGAATTGATCAATTCGTGGTGTAGATTGCTATAATCGTAACGGGATCTTACGACTCCCGTTGACGTCTCTCCTCGCGATTGCGTCTCCCCGCGATTGGTCGAAAATGCAATCCATTTCTTAAGTCTCACAAATGTGCTTAAAACTTAAATTTTGGATGTTCTAGGGACATTTCTTCCGAAAGTCCTACGAATATTCTTAAGGCCAAATTTCGAATATTTTACTACTATCCATTTCGTAAATCCAAAGAATTAAATATCAGATGTTATAAGAACAATCATTTTGTAGATTTTACAGATAAGAATTTCACTTTACAGATTAAATTAAACATTTACAGATTAAACCACAGATTTTACAAGGACAACCGTTTCCTAGGTTTCACAGTTAAATATTGCAATATTTTAAGAACATTCATTATAAAAGTACAAGGTTTCCAATTCCATGAATTTTTGCAATTCTCGCAAAGTTTCCATGTTTAGGCTATACATGCACTAGAAATTCTAATTTCAGGAAGTAGTAATGCAATAAATTGTTTAAATTTCGATCGCGAAGAATCTGCGTCTAACTATACATAATTAGAACAAGATGTTCTCAAAAGATGTACTAAAAGCGGAAAGTAAATGATTCCCTATTCAAAAGTAGGTCCAAAATGTACAATGACAATTTTTGATAAGAAGTTTTGTTTTCGAAAAAATTGACGCTGGAGATTCGTCTAGTACGCATGCACTTGCAAGGACAATCCATTGAATGGGCTAGAACTTAGGTATCCTATTCGGCGGTACGAGCCATATGGTGGTTCCCTATGTACTAGAAGTCGAAAATATAGAATAACAATTTTCCATATCAATCCGTTATCGTAAAATTTCTGCATATCAAAAAACATGAATGCTTTTAGTTTTAAAACATGTGCTAATTTATTGGTGAGAGAACGATATAATGTGAGGTAATAGTCGTGCAATACCAAAACATTTCTTTTTCTCGATGCTTCGATTGTAGATTATTAAAAATAGATTATCAAGAAAGGTAAACTTCGAAAAAATTGACGCTGGAGATTCGTCTAGTACGCATGCACTTGCAAGGACAATCCATTGAATGGGCTAGAACTTAGGTATCCTATTCGGCGGTACGAGCCATATGGTGGTTCCCTATGTACTAGAAGTCGAAAATATAGAATAACAATTTTCCATATCAATCCGTTATCGTAAAATTTCTGCATATCAAAAAACATGAATGCTTTTAGTTTTAAAACATGTGCTAATTTATTGGTGAGAGAACGATATAATGTGAGGTAATAGTCGTGCAATACCAAAACATTTCTTTTTCTCGATGCTTCGATTGTAGATTATTAAAAATAGATTGTCAAGAAAAGTTAAAAAATATTGGAAAAATAAAAAAAAAAGCCAACACCACACGGAGTTCCCAGGCGGTCACCCATCCAAGTACTATCCGTGCCCAGCGCTGCTTAACTTTCGTGATCGGACGAGAACGAGTGCACTCAACGCGGTTTGAGCGTTGGCTGAAGTAAACACTTTTCTTATTTGTTCCTGATGATCAAAAAATAGAATAAAGAAACATAGGTGTGTGCCAAAATGGGAATGATACAACGTATGAAAATGGTCGCGTAATACTAAGACATTTCTGTTTCTCGATGCTTCGATTGTAGATTATTAAAAATAGATTGTCAAGAAAAGTTAAAAAATATTGGAAAAATAAAAAAAAAAGCCAACACCACACGGAGTTCCCAGGCGGTCACCCATCCAAGTACTATCCGTGCCCAGCGCTGCTTAACTTTCGTGATCGGACGAGAACGAGTGCACTCAACGCGGTTTGAGCGTTGGCTGAAGTAAACACTTTTCTTATTTGTTCCTGATGATCAAAAAATAGAATAAAGAAACATAGGTGTGTGCC